GTCTCACTTTGTTGCCGCTATGGCAGAGTGAGTGCTGTGGATCAGCCTAGCTCAAAAGCAACTCACACTCTGAGCTCCAGCATCCTGTCTGACCTCAGCTCTCGCGTTAGGCGGGACTACAGGCATCACGCACCATCGGCCCGGCTAATTTTTCTCATTAGATTAAGTGGCCAATTAAATCTTTTATTTAGTAGTAGAGATGGGTTTTGTGGATCTCCACTCTTTGCTCAGGCTGTTTTCAAACCCTCCCCCTGACCTGTCCTGAGCAATCCGGCCCGCCTCCCGGCCTCCCTATCCAGAGTGCCAGGATTATCAGTCGTCGAGGCCCACTGCGATCCGCGCCCTGGCAATGACCATCTATATTAAGATAATATCAAACTCCTAGGCTCAAGCAGTCCTCCTGCTTTAGCCTCCCGAGTAGCTGGAACAACAGGCTCATGCCACCACCTGGCTAATTTTTCTATTTTTTGTAGAGATGGGGTCTTACTCTTGCTCAGGCTGGTCTCAAACTCCTGGCTTCAAGCAATTCTCATGCCTTGGCCTCCCGAATGCTAGAATTATAGGCATGAGCCACTGTGCCCCACCTCTAAGATCTGTTTGTAAGTTAAACAGGGAAAGGTACAGAAAGAATGTATAGAAAATCCAATTTATGTTATAAAAAAGGAGATACATATTCAAATACAATTTATGAGAGAATACATATAAAAAAATAGCAGTTTTCACCTCTGGAAAGTGGGAATGAACTAATGGGAGGTGAGGGTAGACGAACTTTTCCTTTTTGTTTTTTGCACTTCTCTCTACAGAGTCTGATCTGTTTGATCACTACTCATGACTAGAAAATAAAAAGGGATTGATCTATTTATTTATTGCCATTAGCATTTGTTTTTGAAAAAGTTCATCTGGAAACCAAAAGAAATACCATTATCAAATTTGTTGCCACAGGACTTTTGCTGGCGGGGTCTGATATAAGATTCTATAGATATAAGGTTCTATAGAAGGAACCTTATTCAACCCAGAAATTCCACTACTGGGTATCTACCCAAAGGAAAAGAAATCATTTTATCAAAAAGACACCTGCACTTGAATGTTTATTGTAGCACAATCCACAATTGCAAAGATGTGGAATCAACCCAAGTGCCCATCAATTCATGAGTGGATTAACAAATTGTGGTATATATATATATATATCATGGAGTACTACTCAGCCATAAAAAGGAATGAATTAATGGCTTTTGCAGCATTTTGGATGGAACTGGAGACCATTATCCTAAATGAAATATCTCAGGAATGGAAAAATAAGCACCACAAGTACTCTCTAATAATTTGGAATAAATTTATGGGCACACACGGGGGCACAAGGAAAAGTAAAGATCATTGGAAGTCAAGAAGGGGAGGAGAGGAGGAGCAAAAATCTACCTAACAGGTACAATGAACACTATTTGGGTGATGGGCACACTAATAGCTCTGATTTAAGCATTATAAAAGCTATCCATGTAACAAAAACATTTGTACCCCCTTAATAGTTTAAAATAAAAGTAAATAAGTAAAACCTAGGTGAATTTTATATATAAAGGATATCACCCAATTTACTTAGGTGTTCAAGATTATTTATAAATAGAAAACAAACACATGCAATGAACTGCAAATAGAGAAAAATGTATTACTCTACCTGCATAATGTTTCATCAAATGCTCCAAAAGTGATTCCTGTGTTACCACAGTCTGAGCCACATTCATATCAGATATGGCACAGCAAAGAACTTCAGCCAAAGGTACAAACTGAGATTGAGCTATTGGATTCATTTGCACTGGAAAGACATCACCTATATCGGAGATTTAAAAAAAAAACAGGGGTGTGATAAAGTTGATATAGTATAAAATGTTTGGAATTAATGAATCAAGAATAAAGACAATAGTAGGCGGAACTGCTATTCTTTCATCAGTCTTTACTCAGAATCTGTTAACATGACAAGCACAATGAGAGAAACTATGGCAGAAAAAGGTTTACATTATAGTCACTACTTTTAAGAAGTCTGTAGTATCTGTCATCATTTCACAAGCAAGAGACAGTAAGTTTCCACAAGAAAGCATAAAGTGCTTTCAGAGTTCAGGAGGTCAGACAATGCTTATATAGCAGTTCACATCTTCGTAAGCATTTTTTCACATTAACTGTCTTGAGAAAGGTAGATAGGAGATTATGATCCCCTTACTAAAGATACATAAAGCTATAGAAAGCTCAAGTAATTGTCCTAGGTCTAAAAGTAAGTTAAAGTGAGAGAAATAGGTCTTTTGACTCCTAATCTGGTGTTTTCACCATTCCACACTTTTCCTGATTGGGATGATCAGGAAGATTTTAAGAAGGGCAGAAGTGTTTTCCAATTAGCAAGAAGACACGGACCAAAACCATGGAAGGAGGAAAGCAAAAGGCATGTAAGAGCATGGATAGAGTCATCCTGGCTGGATAGAGTTTAAGGCTTATATCGGACCAAAGTGGAAGATAAGGCTGGAAATGTAATCTAGGCCATATTATCTTTTCTCCTAACCAACATTAGTTGTTACTAATTAAATGTTCTTCTTGACCTGCCATTACTCAGGTTGAGTTTTAGATTCTGCTGGACATCCATGGGAACCCCTTAATCAATGGAAATGAAAGACTAGGACTCAGGAAAGAGATTTGGGAATCAACTAACAAAAATGAGATCTGAAGCTAAGGAGTGAAATAAATTCTTTAATAGGAGAGTAAAGAAAAGGTGCCAAAGGTGCCAAGGAACAACACCTAAGAGACTGTCTACATTTAAGAGACAGTAGGAAATAGGAACCCACAAAAGAGACAAAGACACATACCAAAAGTATAAGAAAAATGTTTCAAAAGGAGCAGCAAGTCAACAGTGTCAAATGCTTGAAAGGAATCAAAAGGGTTGAGGAAGGAGAAAAGCCACTGTATTTCTTGATTTGAAGGTGGCTGTTGATGACTTTCAAGAAAACTGTTTTAGTAAAAAGAAGACAGAAATTAAAGGTCAGATTCAAGGCAAGGAGGTTGGTAAGAAAAAAGTAAAGTTAACGGGTCTTCCTTCTAGAGCATGGTTTCTCAACTTTGACATTTTTGACATTTGGGGTCAAATATATATATAAGGTGACCAGTGATCCCAGTATGCCCAGGATTGAGGTGTTTCCTGGGACCCAGGACTTCCAGCGCTACAACCCTATAACTGAAAGTCACAGGCAAACTGGAATGGTTAGTCACCTAGCTAGATAATTTTGTTGGGGGGGGGGGGGGCTGTCCTGTGTATTATGGGATGTTTAATAGCATCCTAGCCTCTATCCACTAGATGCCAGTAGCATTCCCCACAGTTGCAGCAACCAAAAATGTCTTCAGACATTGCCAAATGTCCCCTGGAGGGCAAAATCATCCCAGTTTGAAACCACTGTTCCAGACCATTTGTATGAGAAATCTGATTGTGGAAGAGGAGAAACAGATCACAAACCAGAAAGGAGTAGGATCAAATGAATACAACTGTGCAAGCATGTTGAGATTTTCTTAAAATAAGATCTCTGCTCTTATGGATGCAAAAAGGAAGGGATTAGTGGAGATGACAAAAATGATCCTGGGAGTGAGAAGATCAGTAAGACAGCAAGATCCCAGAGAACAGGAAAAGGAATGTGACCAAAGGCACAGGTAATGGGGCTAGCTCAAAAATAAGGAAGATGTTACTTCATCTGAGACTTGAAATAAGAGTAGAGGGTAGCAGAAGACCAAAAATATATTGAGGCAGAGAAGGAAAAAAATTTTAGTACAGCAAGGTCATTTGATCTCTGTAAGTTAGACAGGAAAGGATGTGAATGGGAGGAAGAAATGGGAGGAATGGGGGATGGAGGGTGGGAAGTGGTTGTTGTTGTTGTTGTTGTTTTAGAGATGAGGACTGGTTAGGTCTCCTGGGCTCAAGTGATCCTCCAGATCCTCCTGCCCCAGCCTCCTGTGTAGCTGGCACTACAGGTGCTTGTCACCATGCCTAGCTTAAGGAGCTATTTTTTTTTCTGAGACAGAGGCTCACTCTGTGGCCCAGGCTACAGTGCTGTGGTGTCAGCCTAGCTCACAGCAACCTCAAACTCCTGGGCTCAAGCAATCCTTCTGTCTCAGCCTCCCAAGTAGCTGGGACTACAGGCATGCGCCACCATGCCTGGCTGATTTTTTCTATATATAGTTGTCCAACTAATATCTTTGTGTTTTTAGTAGAGACAGGGGTGTCTCTCTTGCTCAGGCTGGTCTCAAACTCCTGAGTTCAAACTATCCGCCCTCCTCGGCCTCCTAGAGTGCTAGGATTACAGGTGTGAGCCACCACGCCCGGCCAAGGAGCTATTCTTGAAGTACTAGGAAATAATAAATGAATAAGAAGATTGTGAGGGAACCTTGAGTCTCAAGGTGATTAAGCACTATTTCTCGCAGACAGGTGGCAGTTGGGAAGGGAAAAAGGCTAGCATAAGCGAGGCCAACACATGCTTCTAACACTTCAATGTGCATATGAGAATCACCTGGGCACCTTGCTAAGGTGCAGATTCTGATTCAGAAGGTCTGGGGCAGAGCCCAGGATTCTGCATTTCTAACAACCTTCCAGGGGATGTTCATACTGCAGGTCTGAGTACTACTCTTTGGGGTGGTAGAGGGTTAGGGTGTTAATGATAACAATGTTAAAGTAGCTGACCAACAAATAAACATGGTCCTGAGTCTAGATGGGGAGTCAAGTGTAGCCAGAAGGAGGCTAAAGGATTCAGAAAACTTGATTATCCCCTGCACTTAACTCCCAGTGACAGTGGAGAAACCAGTACATTACACTGGTTGTTGAGGGAGGAAAGAAGGTGACGGACTGGTGAGGTTTCATGAAGCGTAGAAGCCAAAGCTGGTAGGTGGCCAATACTGGATTCTTTTTATATCTGCCTGAAAATAAAAGCCTTCCATAAGGAAATCCATAAGCAGTTTGCTACTTATACATCCTGTTGTTCTGTTCCCCTGTTTACTTAGGCTTTTCTATCTGGCACTGGAAGGTCACATCACAGGGTAGAACTGCTGTCTGCTTCTGCAGGATCTCCTCTTGGTGTGGTTGTGGCTACCCAGCTGGGTGATGCTAAGAGGCCTATAGCATTCTGGGAAGCCAAGATGAATGGCTAATCAATTAATTAGCATTTCAAAGGGTGGCAACAGGTAATGCCCTGAAACTCCCTGTCCAAGTGGGACATTCATTAATTTACCTAAAACAAAATCTTCCTTGAAACTCAGCTTTTGAGCTAAGGATAACAAGACTTTATCCTCACTTACTCTTGGCCTTTCTTTTTTCTCTCCACATCTGAGATTTACTTTCTTCTCTTTCATCTCCCTCCTCAACCAGACAAACTGTGAAACTAAAGTACAATTTTAAATATTTTTATGCTTCCTTAATATAACTTCATGTGCTTTGTTAAAATAAGTGACTTTAATTAAACTTTTATACTTCTCTCCCTCACTTCCAAAAAAAAGATTTTTCTCTTGTATGTGATCTTGAATTCATTACCCGTTCCCACTGCATTGGATTAGAGGCCCTTACTTTTTAAAAAGGGGAAGAAAAAGGTCATCCCTGCTTGAAAGACAAGGGCTAGAAGTGCCGCCAAAACCTAAAAAGACTTTGCTCAACCCCACAGTACCCATTCAAGCCTCACACTCACCTTTTCCCTAAATCCAGCCACTCTGACTTTCGAGACGGGGTAGGGGAGGACACTGAAAGGAGAGAGCTGAGTGGCTGGACAAGTCAGTGTGCTGCTGTCTGGTGTCCCTGCTGCACCCACCTGCCACCACTGCCCAAGTCTGTACCCTTGGAAGGAGCACGGTACTGCGCTGCCACTGTGCCTTTGGGCTAGAAGTGAATCGACCCATTTTCTAGTTCAATCCTTAAGTATGTTTCCTCTTTTCCTAGGAAAACCAATAACCAAAATTCATTTTTCATGGGGGGGGGAAGGAGCCTGGGGGGGAGGTGACTGGGGCTTCCTATACATTTGTTTGCAACCTCCTGTGAATCTATGATTATTTCAAAATAAAAGGGAAAAAACAGATCTTTCAGAAAGCGTTACTTTTAATTAACTTCTCAGAACTTTTTTCTTACTGTCTTAAAACCCTGAACAACTTTTTAAAAAGAATCCTAACACTGCTTGCCAAATCCAAAAATGCTCTTAGAAAATTTATTCCTAATTCCTACCATGGTGTTGGGATGGGTATTTCAAGAGAGTAAACAAATCTAGTACCAACTAGGAAGACTAACTGCCTTTTTCCCTCCTTAAAATTAATGCAACTATGCGGAAACAGCACTTTAGAGGACAGGTTAAATTGTTTTCAACCTCTGTGGTGGAGCTCCCTCTAGGCAAAGCCTACAGAAAATTAGTTTCTCAGTACATTTTCTTAAGAGCTGTTGCTAAGATACGTCCTTCAGGTACATAAATCATCAGGACTTTTCTTAGTGCAGGAAAGCAGAGTGAACCCTGACATGAGAACACTAAAGACAGAAGTGGAAATCATTTTCAAGCTACAGCCATAGTCTGTTTTGGTTACTTTTGCACTCCTTTGGTTTTGGAATACATAACTCTTAGAGAGTTTTCCACCAAAAATTAACTTTCTATGCAGAAGTTTCCACTTAGAGATATTATAGATATAACCAGATTTCACAATAAGACAAGGCCAGCCCTTCGGCTTTGTCTTCAACTACTACGGAGTAAATTGAAGAGTAACCTTAAGTGTAGGCCTGGCATAGACCTTTGACCCTTGATCACAGGCAGGAATTAGAAGGCTAAGGAGAGACTGGGA